AAAACATACTTTTGTTAGTTAGATTAAGCTGAATATATCTATGCGCTCAAATTTGCATTTTTGGGATACTGAGTGTCGTATTTCGCCATCATCGTTTGCATCCAAATTGGGTTAGTCTGTCGTGTCACACTATGTCGAGTTTATACTTTCCTTACCTTACTTGTCTGTATGCAAGTAGATGGTCTCTCATCAACAATTCTATTAAATATTGTTAGGATGAATGTATCTTTGTGCATACACAGAATGGATTCAATTTCCACTTTCCACTTAATGCTAATTACATGAGGGCTTGAGGTAAGGATCTCATCATGAAAAATATTCTAAATCACATGTATCTCACAAGCGCTCGGCCAGAAAAGCACTGATAGCATTTGCTTACAGCAAAAGGACAAGCTTTAACAAGTCGACTTAGCGTGCCTTGTATCAAAAACGACTCGATCAGTAGCCCCATATGTTAAATTGATAGATATGTAGATGACTGCATACTGCTGAGCCAATCCAGGTTTAAGACAGGGTGGGTGATGGAGATTTTGCACTTAGCGTGGTGCCAAGAGTTTTTTTAAGTCGGCGGCCGTCTTGGGCGCCGTTGATGGTAAATAACACGGGTTTATAGTTTGTTTATGATTGTGTATCCATGCGAGCCCTCCGATGGTAAGGGAATTGAAGGTGAATGGGATGGACGAATCTACATGCAACAAGGCAATAGTTCGGGGCTTATAAGCGGACGATGCATTTCCGAAAAGGCACGGGTATGGAACGCGATGTCATGTGACCGCAATCAGTAAAAACTCGGCATGCTCAGGACGAATGTTTCATCCAAGCCTATCCAAGAGTCTCTTCTGAGTCTTTCTCCTGATAGATATCGTTCACAAGAGATCGCCGGCTATAGGATGTACAAATAGCAGTATTTTTTAAGAAAGCGAACCGGCTTGGACCCAGGAGAGCGGATGACCTCCGGCACGGAACGGTGACTGATGTCGCCATGTGAGATTGCTTCCGACAAGAAACGAGAATCGACGGTCCGTGGAATTCGCCCTTGCCCAACTCTAAAGTGCGTAAATTTCGTGACTTTTTGGATGGCCGATATTCTAATATGCATGGGACGAAAATAACGGAGACAGTAGCGACTGGCTTGTGACACTTGTACGGTGCGGGAATCGATAATCCGACAACGTTAACGCATATTAGCGGGATATATTTCATTTGCTACGTGCTACGTGGTCTATGGTGAGTCGGCAATGATTGGCGTCAAAGATTCTGCAAAGCGCCAAGACACGTTAATAGATGGGACGCCGTAACACCGTGCGCAACAACTGCGGCGTATACACAGGCTGTCGAATGGAAGTAGGATGGCTGCAGGCAGTCTCATTATTCGCATCTGTTTCACGCACGAACGTGGAGCACCAAGACGCCCAAGCGTGAGGTCTCCGCCGCCGCCAAAGACAATGGGCAGAAAGGCACTTAGGCGAATGAATACGAAGTAACAAAGCTCCTCGCAATGTGGGAATACATTGACGTCGACGCGTCGATCAGGCCCGGCGCCCAGAGCGACTGCGAGTGCAGGACCGCTGGGACCGGCATCGGAACCGAGAGGGCCCAGAATTCCGTCAAAATGTGCCGAGTCTGTGCCGATCGCATTTCTCGATTTGATCATTGCGTGCTGCGGAGTTTTAATTAAAATCCTACAAGAAGTCTTGGCTCTCCGCATGATGCCTACCCGAGAGGCCTAACTTGCCCGTCATCGTCTGGCACGATGCCCTCAGCATCGTCAGCGTCCTCGACGACGCACACGCCAATGAGCTACGACAAGTTCAAACCGAAACTACCCCTCAACCCCTTCGGTGACGTCGTCCAAACACCGATCGCACCGCCCGCACGTGCACCGTGGACTTTGGACGTGCATACCCTTCCACCCCAGTCAGTTCTTCAGCTCGAGAGGCGCGTTATTCTGGTCATCGGTCGTGAGCCTTTGTTCCGCTGCTTGTTCTCTTTGTTTGACTCTCTGATGAACACGTTTGATATCGTACAGAACCGCCGGCCGCAGCGCTAGCACCGCTGTTCGTCTCTCCACAATTAGCCTCATCTCTTCTTATAATTGCAAGTCACCGACCCCCTCCGCTTCCCTTTGACCCGCAGCCTGCAGTACACACTCTGCGCCTAAGAACACCCCTTTCCGTTGCGGATGCAGGCGCCACGCGGCTCGTGGAAGTCCTTGAATGGGCTCTGCAGGTTGCAAACCTTTGGCGTCGTACTGGCGGTCCCAAAAAACAAGAACTCATGGAGGAAGTGAGTCCGGCTTCAGAAAGCGTGCCGTTAGGTCAGACGTATGGGAGGCTACGATATAGCGCGACTCCGAGCACTCTACAAGATTCAACAATGACTTCGGCATTCTCTCCTGCGTCATCTGTGACCAGCCTCGCAGCTTCTACCACAAAGAAATCAGTCAGAAGGTCACTTTTCCGTCGGCAGAGTTCGGCTCCTCTGCAGTCAGATTCTGCAAGTACAAGGCCTTTTGATACCCTGCTGCACTTCCTCCCTGCGGACGTGCCTGACAAAATGAAGCTCAAAGCAGTGATACTCGTCACCACTCTCACGCGTCCTTACCTTGCCACACCACCAGCACGCGCTTCCTCGACGCGCTTCTATTCGGAATCAAGCGTGAAACCATCCAAGAGATCTTCCAGTCGCTGGAGCTTTCTCCGAGGCGCAACGGGCTTGGCATCGCCTGGAACAACACTTAGCGGCGCCTTCCATTCGATGAGTACATCGAACCTCCCCGACGCATCGGCTTCGCGACGTGGATCTTTCTCTACCGTCACCTTACTACGCACACGCAGGTCACGGCTCATTCACCTCGTGCCATCACCGCCCGCGAAAGCTTCCTCTTCTCGGTTTCCTGCCTCACGTTCCAAATTTATGCCGTCACAGGCGCATTTAGTCCGCAGTATCGAAGCGTTCCTACTGTCATTTTGTTTTTCCGCTCCGGTCGACCTCCCGCCTCCCATCGCTGGTTTTGCTTCCGGCAACTCGGATAGCGCACGAGCGAGGCCGTATGTGCTTCCTGCTACGGCTCTTACGGAGGTTTTGTGTGTCGAGAGTGCGAATGACGAAGATGACGAAAACGAGCGGAATGAAGATGAAGAAGACGTGGAAAGAAGCCGAAGTAATGAATGGAGCCTTGCGGAACTCATTCTCAGTGGTGCTCTAGAAGACGACGCGGAGATACTACGCTTCTCACAAAACGCGGTTCAGGGTGACGGACATCGCAGTTCATCTGAGAGCGAAAAAGGAAAGGAGAAACAACTCGAGAATCTACAGGTTAAGGCGGATGACAATGATTGGCTCGCGCATCGTGCGTGGATTGGTGGTATGCGCGATATCACTTTCATGCCCAATTCCGCGGCGAAAGGGCAAAAGAATGCGCATCTAGTCCCTTCACGATCTAATTCACCACCGCAACTATATCCAGAACCACGGGCTCCGTCTTCTCAGCACGCCTCTCGTCCATCATTGCAACCGAACTCCCGCTCTCGTCACCAGCCGATTCCCGAAACCCGGGTCAATTCTCATCCTGATGCAAGTCAGCCGCAGCGCTCACAACAACGTCGTCAAACTTCGATGCGAGGTCGCACTATGGAAAATTTGAATATGAATGGAAACGGGGGTTCGAATGATTCACATTCACAGTTTCACGCGGGCTCAAGGAGAAAACAGCGACAAGCATCCGCGATCGGATCGCTAGCGATTGAGAAGAGGTTGCCTACACCACCGGAGGATGAGGATGAAGAATTAGGCAGGGAGGAGGAGGAAGGACCTGCGTTTATTCAAGGTCAATCACACTCGAGAGGGCGCCGAAGTAGTGATAAGCAACAACATATGATGTCGCAAGCAGCTTCGTATCCATTATCGAAGCCCGAGCCCGCTCACTTGGCATTACGCAATGATCGGCCACAACAAGTTCTGCGGCAATTAAACGATTCGCACCACCAGCAACAGCAACATGAATCGCGACCTGAATCAAGGTCGTCCAAATCAACACATCCATCTGTTCCTATCACCGCATCTTCGATGGGTGCTTCCAGCCGTTACTTACACCAATACATGCCCATGCCACCGCCTAGAAAAGACAACAACGACGCGTATAGTAAACTCGGAAAAGAAAAAGAGCACGAGTGCGAGCGAGCTTTGAGAAGTCTCCCAACGCCTCCCGATTCGGAAGAAGATTTGCTATTCGAGGGTAGGTTCAATAACGCTTCGCACTCAGTTCCTCTTCCTGGCCCTCCTCCCTTACCCTTATCGCGGACTTCTCATGAGCGCGAGCCTCCAATTGGTGTGGTTGCGCCCGTTTCTCACGAGCACGGACGCGTTCGGAGTGGTAGGCAACCAGAACGGAGTAGAGCAGACGGAGATGCCGGAAGCCGGGTATACGCTAAAGAGCGCGAACTTGAACTTGAACATAGACGTCGTACTCAGTCTTCTCCCTTGCGACCTTCGCAGGCGCACGTATCGGGAGAAGTTACAGCGCCTCGGCGTGCGAAAACTAGGCCGAAGGAGAGTATCCCAACGGAACGGACACGGGAAAGGACGTTGAAGAAACGTGCTTCGGATATTGACTTGCGAATTGACACAAGAGAGAAGAAAGAGAAGTACGGGATGAGGCGGAGTACCAGTCCGGACGATTCAGACGAACGCCGAGTGAGACGAGTACCAGTTGCGTTACCGCCGCTGCCGCCGCCTTCTCCACCTTCACCTCTTACGGAAATTAAAGAGAAAACGTACGAGCGCTCGGATGTCAAACTTCCCCGATCGAATGTCCCCTAGAAAAGACAGACGAAATGGAAATTCTGGAAGGCTGGGAATGGCACGATTGTAGAAGCCTAAAAACGTAAAGACGACTTTTCTTCCATTCATTCCTTTTGCACATAGTACTTCGCTTTCGTTACACTTTGCTCTGACTTTGGGTTGCTTGGCTGTCAACTTCGTTTCCTTCTCTCATTTTTTCACACCGTCTTTCCTAATCAAATTCGTCACGAATACGAATGAGAATGTAGAATAACCTATTCCGTGCGTTGTGCACGCTCTTCCATCGTTTCCGTTTCTCTTCTTTTTACACAACTTCCGTCTTCATTTTCTTTGACCACTCATTCTTCTCACTCTCCTCATCTCACTGCGCACCCATCCATCCTATCCCACGGACTCATAAACATAAACATGCATCAATCAGAAACGAAACGAAAACACCTCTGGACTCTCGCTCATCCATCCATACTCTGTACCACTAATTCATGATGTCCTTGTTTCATACAAGCATACAACTTATTCGGCTCTGCAGTTATCGAGTTTCAATATTCTCGTTCTTTATTTTCCTGAGTGAGATGTACGTTGATAGGTCAAGTTAGGTAGCATTACTCCTAGTGCATTACAATCAAATTTGTGCACTGATAGCTTGTTAATTCATCTGCACTACTTTGAACAAGCAATATTCTAGTATTCAGTTCAATAGACATTATACATACTAATTATATGTTTAATCTGTGCTAGGCAACAATTGATACAGAGCAGCATGGAAATGGGCCACATAATATTATACAAGTTGGACAAATGGCATGAATCAATACCTACAAGCCTAATAACCTCTGGTCCAGTTTTCTCCCAGTGGTGAAGCTGCCAAGTCCAATCTGGTTGCAAACTGCCAACCGAATACAGTTTTGCAATAAGGAGGTAAAAGTGTCTGCCGAAGATCAGGTGGAATCCATGTGAGCAATTCTCCACCTTTGCCCAGGATCCAGCCGTCCTCGGACATTGTCCAATTGGACCCGAAATTGCCGTCAGGCAGTGTTGCAAGACTGGTTTCGTTTGTCGCTCTCGGGTTACCCGAGGGTTGTTCCAGTGGCTCTATAACAAAAGAAAGCTTGTTACCTATGTAACCTTAAGAGACTTGGGATGACCTCACCAGCTTCAAAGGTCCAAATCCGAATAGTGAGATCACCGGATCCGAAGGCGACCTGCCTCCCGTCGGGTGAGAATGCGACCGACATGACTGCATCGCTATGCCCTTCAAAGGGACCCGCAACGACGTTGCCGCTTTTGACATCCCAGACACAAACAGTGTTATCACAAGAGCCAGAGACTATGTGTTTCCCGTTGGGCGCACATGCAACTGAGTTGATCTGGTCTGTGTGCCCTTCAAACGGACCCGCGATGCTCTTCCCACTAGTGCTCCGCACCGTAGCGTAATTTACGGATACGCCTGCAGTGTATACGCTTACACACTGTATTGTAAGAGAAAATTTTAGCTGAAAATACGGGCGTATATTTACGCGCGTATGCGTATACCATAAGTAAAAAATTTCCGTATACACTGTATACGAGTATACAGTATTACTAAGCATATTCTCTAATTAAATACTAAGTTTGAGTTTCTAAACCTCATTTACTTTACTTATTTATATACCAAATCATTTTAATACTATATAACAACCTTGTTTAACTTAAAAGTACTAAGTATGAGTACTACAGTTAGTATAGTTACTACAGTACATTACATGAAGGTTTAGAGCTGTTATATGATATTAACTCACAACACTCAACTGTCTTATTTCTGTGTGTAAACAGTACTATAATACATTTTCTTAGCTTAGTAATATCAAGCATTTGTTTTGAAAGTATAATAGTGTACTTTTATGTAGCTATTTTAATGTAAAGTATCTTGTTATATTTT